GCTGAATAGTGATGATTTTATATGGTAGTTTAAAAAAAATACAAAGCACTGTCTGTACTCATATTACTGTACCACATCTCAATTTAGTGCTGACTGTGTGTGCATGCTGTGAAGGTCACACAGGTGTGAAGAAAGCATGATCTCCTTTCCAAGGATTAGCAATAGCATAAGCTGTTTGGAAGCCAGTTGTTACATCAATAACATAAATATATGTTCAGAGATAAATGTTTGTACATACCTGCAGCCAGAAGATTTACCCATTAGTGAGCTTCTATATTTTTGGAGTATATTATACTATAAATACTGGCAAAGAAGTATAATGTAACCATCTTTTCTCATCTGTTTCGAAAGATAATCTGATCGTTTCAGGTGCTTTTTTATATAAGAGTGTGTTAAGCTTCTTAATGTTTAGAACAAAGCCAAGTGAACTTATTTCTTGTTATTTCTATTTTGCAACAGATTAGTTTTCAGTCTATTTTGCAGACTATTACTGTTCTACTGAGTAATAGTGTACTAAGAAAGTCCTGCTTTCAAGAATCTCAGAAAATCAGATTTTGCTTTAAGAGATCTAAATGTCTTAATAAACCTCACAGATGTTTTATTCCCAAGGAGTCTGATTTGAAAGAATCTGAAATTAAAAGAAACTATTAGATTTCTAAAATATGCACTAAACCCCCAAATCCTGGCAGATCAGAATGATTACACTATGCATTTTACTGAATCAAGTGATTGATGTATTTGCTAAATTTTCAATTTGTGTACTCTGAAAGAAGGATGTCATGCGATTTCAAACAGCAATATTACAGACTGATTGTGCTGAAAGTGGCGTGACACAGGTACAGGACAAAGCCCAGCACAGCAGAAAGGACATGGTTAGAATGCAGGTCCTCAGGCACTATTGGCTTGAAGATCAATATTATTAATAGTGATCCCAAGGTGTAGTATGGCAGCACCACAGTATGTGCTAAGAAGGAACCAAATTCCTCTCTGGTGGGTCTGTGCATGCTCCTCTGGACTGTTTAAAACTTGTCATTGGGACACCCAGAGGGTCTGTGGTGGGGAGGTCAGTCTGTGAGGCCTTCACAGCTCCTTCATTCCTGCTGCTTCCCACAGGACAGTGTGGTGAGGAGCTGGGAGGAAGGCCTGGCAGCCTCAGACATTGCACCAGCTGCAGGATGAAGTTGTGAAAGAGCAAAAACCGTGCCGGGTTGGAAAGGCTCAAGGACGGCTCTCAGAATAACAATGTCTGCAGACTTGGAAGACTTGGGGTACACCCGGTGTGGGCATTGGTTCTGTCAGGTACAACCTGAATTCTGCTCACTGTGTTTTGGTGAACCTGAAAACTCCACCAGCACCATCAGCTTTCCCACTCAGTTGCCTGCAGGAGCTCTGCTGCTGGAGCTGATTCCAGAAGATGGAAGATGGGCCAGCTGTCCGAGTGGCTGAGGGAGACACATCAGGTTGCTGAAGGAGGGTGAGGTCAGGAGAAACAGAAGCCAGGAAATGCTTAGTATATAGCTTTTGAGAATCCTGAAACTGGGAAGTGTAGGCTTGCCCATTAGGCCACCAGGACCCTGGTGCCATGCTCGGTCACGGGGCTTTTGGAAGAAATCCCAAATTGACATTGTTGGTTTTTGTCTGAGCAGGCACAGGTAAGTCAGGATTACAATTAGAGCAGGTCACAAGAGAGTGGCATTTCCAGAAGGGAGCATTTTGCAAAATGCTGTAATTGAGATTTCACAGAGGTGATGGCTCTCAATTGACCTAGGCTGGACAGTGGTTAAGGTGTGGAAGCCTGGGGCAGCCTTTCTTGTCAAAACTTTGTTCCAGGCTTCTTGCTGGAAGCAAGACACTAAACAGATGATATTTTCCTGGATAATATTTAGTGGAACAATTCCCTCCTTTCTTTTTCTATTTTCTACCTGCCTTTTTCCCTTGTTTCTTTATGAATAAGAGATATCAGTTCTGTTTTGAAGAAATTGTACAAAAACTGTATGCTGATACTCCTAAGCCATGATCTCATCTGTGAAGAATGAGTGCGAGATAAAAATATGAACACCAGCTTTTAAAATGAGCATAACAAACCTTAAATCATAGCTAAACTTCTTAGTATCTTACTCATACTTTTTCAATATTATCAAGGTACAAGAAATAGCAAAACTAATTGGTTTAACTCTTTCCCCTTGTGGAGTGATCTCAGTATTGGTCTCATGCCTCTTCCTGAAGGCACAAGATATTTTTCACCAGAAAATAACAGGAACATGAGCATGTTGTTTAGCTGTAGTGTACTCTTTGTGACTCTTCCACCCACACTGTGCTCAAGGAAGACTTTATTTAGTTTGTACAGTGCAAAAGGTATTTAAAGAAAACAGTTCTTTTGCTTCCTTGTAAAATAGGTTCTCCTAAATAACAGTAAGTGTCGCAGAATTGTTTCTAGAGTGCTGCCTATTCCTTCTTCATCTCTAGTTTAGGATATCTGAGTTGATTCTGAGTTGTACAGCAGGGTAAAAATTTTAGCCTTGACTTTGAACAATGAGATGAAAACAAAAAAAATCCGGGTGTAAAGAGATTTTATTTACAATACTAATGTCTGCTCTTCATATATCTTTATTCTGGGGTAGATTACATTTTACTCCTAAATCTCCACCATAATTTACTGCAGTCTGTACTTTTAAATTACATTGTATGTGCATGCTGTAGTCTACCACTGCAGCTCTTGTGGCTGAATGATGTGAGATACAGCAGTGCTAATCTCTAGCACATGTGAAAAATGGAGGAATGTACTCAGAGAACAGAAAGTCCACATACCAACAAGCAGCTTCTGTGTCAGCAGCTTGCTGGAACAAAAAAAAAAAAATAATGATCATCCCTGCAAGCCTTTTGAGGGTGTCTGAGGATCCCAGGAAGAGGTTAACAGCATCCATGGGTGTGTGTCCATAGGCTGCACATCAAATCAAATATTTATGAATGAAGGTCAGATGTGCCCCTTTCAGGAGGCTGTCCCTTAACTGTTTACAAAATACAGCCTGAAAAAGAGCACGGCCAGGTTGAGTTACAGCCTGACATCTCTGATGTGTCAGAAATGTGACATAATGGCTCATGGCTCCGTGTTGGTGGGGTTCAGCCCAGCTCCCCACTTGAGCCTCAAATCCTATTAATAGCAACAGACTGAGTCACAGAAGCAAGAATGTCAGACTGCCTGTGCTGTGCTGCTCTTGCACGTTGGACTGCTAACAATAGAAAGCCAGCCTTGATTTGTTAGAATAGAATAACTATTTTTTTCCATGCATGTGCCTGTATCTCTCTCCCTCTCTCTCTCTCTCTCTCTCTCTCTCTCTCTCAGAGATTTATTTATTAAAGAATGTCACTGAATAAGAGATACCTTCTGGGTGAGGCAGACTGCCTTGTTTAATTCATTTCCCTTGTTCTGGGTGGCATTTATACAAAACATCTAGAATTTATTTGCTGCAAATATTTTTAACGCTGTGTGCGTGGTCTGATTTTTTTCCAGCAGGTATCAGCCATCTGCTGCTCTGTCTGACTGATGCCTTCAGCTTGTTTCTTTGCATTAATATCTCTCTCCCTACGTAGAGTAGCAAGGAGAAGGAATTCCCCTTGTGGAGGTGTGAGCAGTGTAAATGTAGGATGCAGTATGAATGTAATTTCACTTCTATCATGTAACATACAGCACATTTTGCACTTAGCTGTGGTCAAGTCAAAGCTTTTCCTCCATGAATCTGCCCATAATTTAGCCCACAATATCTTATATTTGACCCAGTTCTCTGCTGCAGAGATCACATCTGTCTTTGACAAGTCAGTTTATTTCCATTTGCTATTTTCTCTGCCTTTAAACCACAAATATAAAATTTACCCTCTAGGCAAAGGCATAAATGACATAGGTTTATTTTGGGGAAGTCACTGGTAGCTAGCTAAAATGAGGAGCTAAGTAATAGTAGTAGTGATAGAGGCTCTCCAAAATCTTGATGCTGACAGTATATACATATTTTAAAAATACAAGTGGCTTTTTAGGGGTATTCAGGATTTTGATTTGTGATATTTTGAAACTTTTCTTTGTAACTGTGAATAAAAGTTTGCTTGTAAAAGAAAAGCTTTGTTTCCCCTGACTCTGACCTGCATCTTTTAATAGGAAGCAGAACCTTGGTATATGATGATGAGACTTGACAATATTCTAAATGGTTGTTTTGTTTGTTTTTCAGTTTACTGCCCAGTCCTTTCTCAGGTGAGTTTAGTGCCTAGAAAACCAAAAATTTGCAGGTCTGTTTGAGGCCCAGATTCTACACTGATGCTTTTTCTTGTTGGGGATGTCTTGGGGAGTGAAATTTCCATCTCAGTGATGCTATTTCAATACTCTTTCCATCTCAGTGATGCTATTTCAATACTCTTCTGTCTTCTCAGTTCCGTGAGTACCTGTGGCTATCATCTGCAAAGGAATAACTTAGGAAGAGCAATTATTTCCAATTATTTGGTATTCCAGAATCCAGCACTTACTTTGACCCACAGCGAACATTTGTATAGCTTCAGAACCCAGGTGCTTGCTGGGCAGTGACAGTTCTCATTTTTATTGTTTTTATTGTTGTTTGAAGTAGAGGATAGCTATTCGCTTCGTGCACAGGCTGTATGTTACTCTAATCTGTTCTGCAGTCAGTAGGCATTGAGAGACCATTTATTAGCATGTTTTGTGGTCTAATAATTGCTGTCAAGCTAAATCCAGGAATGGATAAACTGCTCACCACTGTGCTGCAGCCTGCCTCAGCACTTGCCTGTGCTCATCTTTGTTTCTCCTCTTGATCCAGGCTGAGTTTGAGTAAATAAAATAATAGAAAGCTGATAAATACCACGTTGGAACAGCTGCCCTGCTCTCCCTGGCGCTGCTGCGGGAGCGAATGGCAGCGGAGCGGGGCTGTGCAGGCAGGAATGAGTGCAAGGTGCTGGGAAGGGCTGCTGGAATCCAGCCTTTGCTGCCATTCCAGCTGGAGCTGGGGATCCAGCACAAGGGCAGGAGCCAGGATGAGCTGCCTTTAGCCACAGCAAAGCACCACAGGGGGAGGACAGGAGAAACGAGAAGGAAGGAGACAGTGATGAGCGATCGGACCTGATCAGACCTTGTAGGAAATCTGGAATAAGCTGCCTTTTTTCTTTATTCTATTTTCTTTTTCTTCTATTTTTTTTTTTTTAATTTTTAAATCTACCTCCACCAAACACTTCTGAAAAAGAGACTGAGTTTAAATTACTCCAGCTAATTCTTGCTGCCTCCACTACGAAGAAAAATTGTTTGCCATGGTGAAAGAAAAAGGTAATTATGTTTATTGATAGACTGGAGCCTAAACCTAATGTGCCAGCCAGTCACCTGAGGTTTAAAACCTCACATTTGAGATGAGCATGCTGTGATTGGCAGTTGTTGTTTTCCTTTCTATAAAAATGATGTGTGAAGCCCTGCAGTGGGTTGCATTGATTATCATTGTACCTGCTTTAATAAGGGTAGAATCTGGAACACATCTAATTTAGTGTGTCTGCACAGCAGGGTCCCTTCTGTGTGTACATGTTTGTTTGGGGTTTTTTTCCTGTGATTTAACTCAAGTTGACAGTTTTTTACCTGTATTTGCTACATTTCAAATAACTTTGACCACTGCAGCAGCTGGTTTAAAATTTTAAAGATAAATATTGATATATTTAAATCTGGACTTGAGAGGGTATATTTTAAATTTTAATGGATAAATGCATTATATGGGATTTTGAAAAATGCTTGAATTTTGCAGCAGTAAATTAGATATCAGTTTCAGTTACCTATAAGTAACATTTTAAGCCTCCTACAGAAGAATTTGTTAGTTTAAAAAATTTAGAAATCGTTGTGGGATGTTTCCTTGCAGTAATACTGGTCTGTATCATTTGTTGTATTATGAAGATGCGAGATAGGTTCTGAGCTGTATTTGAGTGTACTGGATGTGGTTTGGGGTCATTACACCATCAGAGACAGATTCACACTCAGTCTCTTCTGTGAAGAGGAGAGCTTGTGTTCCTTCTGAGGACTCTGTAAAAAATAACGTGGGAGAAATTCAAACTAGGGCAGAAATAGAAATAAGAAGGAGTAAAGGTGAGTATGAACAAGCAGTTTTGCAGCTTTGAACACACTTTTTTGAAGTGTTGTAAATAAAAAGTGAGTACAAGTAGCTTCACAGATGTGTAGATTGAGGAGAGCAGGGCAAATGCCACATAAATGACAAATGCCTGCCACAGTGTGTCGTACATATCAGGAGGACTGCAGTAATAACCATTATCCAGACTATTGATCATTTTTGTTGATAAAAGGCGGTGACCCAGCATAAATTTTATTGGCTACCTAGCATCTTTGGGATCCTTTATTTCAGATTTACAGGGTTACTTTTATAATGTCAGTCATGAACTGATGATCTGCTACCCCTATCAGTGAGCCATTCCAGGGATGGTTTAAATAGGAATTTCACCCCAAATCCCAGAAAGTGCAGGTTTCAGAATCATTTGAATGAACTACATCGATCATCTTGTCAGAAAAATAAGTGTATTGTCCTTCACTTTTTCATAACTGTTGCTTGTTTTGTAAGATGCATTTTAAGACAGGGCTGCTATCTTAAAGGGTTTTCCTGAAGTGTACATAAAATATGTGTAGCATTCAGGTTTGGTCCTTTTATATGTTTCTGTCCCCTCCCCCAGCTGATGTTCTTTTGGTTGGATTCCCTGTGTTATGTGGAGTGTACCTGAGGAATACTCTGTAAATTCAGTTTTAGTGTAAATTCAGTTTTAGCATCTTGCACCATGAAAGTTGTCATTTACCTGCAAAAAAATCAAAACAAGCCCGTCATTTTTGTAAAAAATGGGAGGGGAAAAAAGCTTCATAGAAGAGCAGAGGAAGTTGACAATGAATCGTTGAAAATATGAAAAAGATTTGTGTTTAAATTGCTTCCTTTCCCCTTCCCCACCAAGTTTAGTGCATTATTAAATATGGCTATTTATATTTATGTTGGATATAAATATTCTTTTCCTGTTCACAGAGATAATGGACTAAAATAACTAAATGTTTTCTTTAAGTTTGGAGTGCAATTACTAATATTTCATGTCTCATGTCTGCAGAAAGAGAAAGGATGGAATCTGTTAAATATTTTGATTTTATATGTTATTACTTTCAAATAATTTCCCCAACAATTTTTTTAACTCTTTTGTGTTTGCCTCAATTTTCTTTTTTCTCTTTGTTGGTGGGTTTTTTTGGTTGCTTAATTTGTTTCTTTTGATTTTTGTTTTGGATTTTTTTTTTCTCCTATGCTTTAGTCAGAAGGTCAGGATTTATTCCTCTAAATGTCACTCTCTGCAGTGATACTCTTGCAAAATGCAGACAGTCCAATACAGCTGGTACCCTCCCTTCCAGCCACTGCTGGTGCCGTGGTTTGAGCAGGCTGAAAATGCAGTTCAGTCCAGTGTCATTTCACATGTTAAGTAGGCACTGGAGGGGCTGGTTTCAGCTAGAAAAATGCAACTCCAATTCACTGAATTGAAAAATGGTTGGTAACAGTTTTTAGCAAATCAGCATGCTTCATTATGCTCATATTGTAGAATGATTTCAGTGTCTGCCTGGTTAGTTCATACACAAAAAGAATCCTGAGGCCAGGGTGTTTTCTGCTGACACCAAACGGCGCTTCCTAAGTTATGTCTGACTGATGCCACATTCTCATCTCTCTGTGTACTTATCTATTTCCAATTATGAGCCCTTACTATCTAGTTTTTCAGCTAAATTATTATCACTGTGCTGCATCCGAGGGCAACTTTCTCTCTTCTTGTCCTTTAACAGAAAGAAGATCACATGTGCATATGTTTGTCTCATTACTAATTCTCTCTGGCAATTCAAAGCCCATATGGAATAATCTACATTCTTGCTGCTTCTATGTTGAGGCCAGTGTGTGGGTTGGGAGCCTGCTAGCCAGGTTTCTGTGTGATACAAATGTTGTAGCTTCATGTTTACCCCATTAGTTCACATAAACTGAGGATTTAGCCCTGATTCTTGATTTCTTGAGCAGTTGATGAGATGTGCTAGTCTGTGGAAGCATATTGGTAATCAGCTTTGTACCTGATGAAAACTTGGGCAGGATCATCCATGGGCAAACCTAGGAAAGTGGATTAGTTGCTGTTCATGCTTCTGCATGTTTGGAGGGATAAAAGGAGAAGATATGAGGGGTTGAAGATTTTTTGGATTAAGGAAGCAGGCACCGAGGCTTCATGATTTCTGTTCTTCATGTACTGATTCTGCTGATGGGAAGGTGTTGGCACCTACTGGGTACCGAGTTGCAGTCAGCTTGATCGTGTTTCCATGTGCTCACCGCTTCTCTGTAGGTGCCCACTGGTGCTGGCTTTCCCAGGAAGCCCCACAGAAGGTGCAGGTCACCAGTGGTACCATATTTCCTATATTGTTGGGCCCGTGGTTTGGTCTTGCAGAGGGATTTTGTTCTCTGTTGCTTTTTCTTCATACTTTTGATAAAGCATGATAGCAATACGCCTTCAGGTTTTGACCAAGGGGATTGGTTTTATGCTTGGTCCAACCTTCTTCTCTTCCATTTCGATCCCAAGAGCTGTGAGCCCCCACAGGAGCTTTTAGTCTTTCTCTGCAGTTATGATGTGACTGCTTTAAATGGGACATTCTTTGAAGAGTATGCAAGTGTTACCTGACTGCTAATTTAAATGTGTTCTCTCTTGGGAACTTGGTCTCTCCAGTGCTCTGTGTATTTGCAGTCTTAAAATTTCTTCTCTGTGTTAATCAGGAGACTGTTGAGTAATGGGATTTGGGGCCTAACACTGTCTCAGTGTCATGGTTGCTGATGAAATATAGTCTTGATTTGAACTCATGGCTTTGGAACTTTTTAACCCCAAGTGACCTGGGAAAGTCTCCAAGTTTGTTGCTTTTGGAGCACATGACAAAATTATGCAATCACACATTGGCAGGGGGAGGATTGGGGAGTTAATTTTCTTTTTGGTTCAGTTTACTTAGTTTCATATTTGGTTCTGCTTGGCCGTTTGCTTTTGGGGCTGGGCATTTGGGTTTTTTTATTTTTTTTTTAATAAAGGGCATGTGCTGCCTTGCACAAACCACAGAAAAGGCATTTTATAAATATGCATAATAATAGATGTTGAAAAAATACACTTGTAGTTAAAGTACTAAACAATAGAACAGTTTTGTGTTAGAGGCTCTTAAGGTGACCTTGGGGAGGTAATTTGATCTCCCCTTGTGTTAATCTGTAAAATGAGGATAAGAACATTCCTCTTGTCTGCCTTGATTATTTGAATTTGAGGTCTTTGAAGCGGAGAGTTTCTTTTACCTTGCTTCACAGCTGTGACAAGGCAATCTTAGTGTTGGGATTTCACTACTTCTAATTGTACAAGAAAAAAAAAATAAAGAATATCCAGTGCTATGTGATTATCTTATAAACATCTTATTACTTTTAAAAGGCAATGCAATTATAAAGGAATTATGTTTCTATTGGCACATTTATGGCATTGCTTTTCTCTACTTTGTCTTTCTAAATTTATTTTTAATATTAGGTTTCAAATTGCAGTTCTGGTGTGGAGCATTGATACTGAGAGAAATAAAAATAACCAAGGAGATGCCAGCTCAGGCACTGCATGTTTACTGGAGATTTTAATTTTTTTTTTTAATAGCACTTACTTCACATGAGGGTACAAATACTCATATCCAAAGATTTGGGCAAGCACAGTGTGCAGTCCTGCCATGCCTGCCCACTTCCCATGTTTCCCAGTAGTGGAATTCCATACATTCCTTGCATCCCAGCTGTGTGTAGGAGCCAGCCCTCTGAAGATACAATGAGAAATGGGAGATACTGAGAAATGGGAGAATTTTTGCTATTGATCTCACTGGAGGGGAGGGTTTAGGGGGTTTAGCCATTAAATTTGAGACCACAGAGTTCACAGGTTCAGATGTTGGTAGGGTCAGCTCTTCCTGCAACAGAAACAATGAGTGGTGTGAGCCAAAAACCCCCGGTCTGGAAAAGGGGAGGTTCAATCAATTTAATTTTCTCACAATTAACACAGTTCCAGTTGCTGATTCTGGTTTTGAAGATAAAAGCAAGCAAACATATGCTCAGAGAAGCACACCCCATGTTCTCTCTGGCACTGCTGGTTTCCAGTCCATGTCACTCATTATCCTCAGCACCTCTGGTGAGGCTGGGCTGGGGCAGGACGCTGGTACCAGGTTGCTGCTCCTTTCATTGTGCTGCTCCTTTTTCCTTGCTCAGTTATTTCCATGTGAGTTCCTCTGCT